GAGAGAGAGAGAGAGAGAGAGAGAGAGAGATTCGGACAGAGTATCCAGGAAAGGAAAAGAGCATGAGTCTCGCCTTTGCTTGGGGTCTGGGGTTTTTACTATCAATTATGGTCAGGTACATGTGTCCTCTTAGGCATCTAGGAACTGGTCAGAACCAGGACAGAGTCTGGGTGTCCTTCATAAGTCACTCATTCCCTGAAGTCATGGGTCTTGGCACCAAGGTGTTTGGAGTCAGTAGTCTTAGAGAATGTTTATGATGATCCTGCCTCATCTCTCCTTAGATTTATTGTGCTGGGAGACTCCAAACATATTATTATCTCTTTGTCCCTTACAAGGAAGACATATGTAGCCTGGATGGCTCAGTCTGTAGTGAATATGACTATTGATCTCAGGGTTGTGAGCTCAAGCCTCACGTTGGGCATAGAGCCTACTTTAAAAAAACAAAGGAGAACATAGGCTATTTGCATTACAAGGCATGTGTAGAGTAGAATGTGGGTGCAGGTCCTAGCAAGAATAGAAACTGGAAAAGAAGCAAAGGAAAAAAAATGGCTTTTTTTGTTTTTTTCCCCATGGGGTCTCTTCAGCTTCTCTGTCTCATACCCAGCTGTGAAGTTGGAAACAAAATAGAGAAAGAGCCACTGCACGTTGTCTCTCTCTACAGAGATGGTCTTCAAGTATGGCTGGTAGGAAACATGGTACCTGGTTCTCATGGAATTTAGAATCCAAATAGTGCTTTCACGACAGAGACAGCAGTAAGAGGCAGATCAGGGAGAACTTGCTGGCTTCTGCCAATGATTTGGATTTTATCACGAATCGAATGAGAAGTTATTGAAGGGTTTTTTTGTTTTTTTAGCTGTAGTTGGGGTGTGATCTGGTTTTAGAAACAATAGTGTTTTAGAAAACCAAGAGATGTGGAGAATGGAACAGGTTTGGGGGTGATTATTTTTGATGGAAGCTCTTAAAAGGAAACATTATAGAACTCTGAGGTGAATGTATTGCCCACCCCCGATAACCTCACAAAATACTCATAAATAATCTCAATTGTGTCCAGGCTGCCTAATTGGTACCAGCATTTCTTTCCATTATATTGACCTAAGACTTCTTGTCTAGGGCTCAGAGGTAACCTTTTGATCAAGGTAGTCAACAGTGAGACATTCCTGCAGCTTGAGGTGAGATGCAGGCCTGGGACTGCTTCCCACCTTCTTCTGACTCTCTGTGAGCTAGATTGTCTGAGTTTTGAACACCAGAACAAGAAAAATGCGACCTTGCAAACGAGGAAATTTAGTGACATTTTGTGATTGCTTGAGCAATCCCCATTGCACACATACAACTCCCAAGAATAAGCAATATTATCTTGGTATTGAAAAGAACTAATCAATTTTTTCTCTAATTTCTTGAAAATAACAAGCAAAAGGGAATGTCTGCCCTTAGAGACTCTTTTTACATTATTATGCCAGGCAAATTAGCTCTTCTGAGCTACAACCCTCAACACTTCTTAATTTCCACAAACAGAAAGGTCTCCACAACAAAAGCCCACAGAAGAGGGTTTGCTCAGAACAGGAACTTTTAGCAAGGAGCAAATGCAAGCCTCTGCTTCTTTTCAAGAAGGCTTACAACTTGGCTGAGTCTTTCCTGTTCTTAACCTGGTCTTTGCCATGGTGTCCTTGAAAAGTACGCATGTGTGTTAAGAAAGAAACTTGTTTTCAGTGTTAATCTCTCTGAATGGTGGCAGTTTAGATTTTTTCTTTACTTCCCTCCTCTTCTTTATTGTGGAATTTTTTTTTTACAGTAAGCATATAGTAATCGGAAAAAAAACACCCTAGAACTATTTTTATTTTGGAGAACCATGGGATCTTTATAATCGTACACAAATTAACTCATATACACTGCTGATAAAGGCTTGCATAGATAAAATGCTAAAGGATTATCGAGTATCCCAGTACTTTTTGTTTGAAGAGGCCTCAAACAAATAGAAGTTGAGGAGGGTAACCAGTCATTGTTCACGATGTCATGAGGAGGACACTAAGGTGTAGATCATTCACAGGGCTATGAAAAAGACAAAAAAGATTAATAAGCGGAGAGCTGCAATAATCCAAATAAATTGAGATCATGGAACCAGTTGGTTGGATTTAACCATTTCACATTGTCAGATAACTCCTGTTCAACTTGTATCTGTGTTTCCTCTTGAATATCTAATGGTTTTGATGCAGCTGGGAAGACAGAGCATTAATCTCAGATTGTAAATTGGGGGAAGAAGCTCCTTGCAGGTGTTTTTTCACTAACTCCCAGGAGTGAGACATATTATATTGTAAGAGAGTGACACAAATTTTGTCATGTCGCCGGTCACATTGTATACTTTGATGATCAACAAGTGCCTGTTGGTGGTCCCCCATGCATTCGAGGGCTGCTTCAGCGGCTTGTCGTCTCTGCCTAATACTGTTAGCAACCTGCCTTTGAGTAGTCGTTGCCTTGGTGATATCAGTCATTACGTGATTGACTACTTTAGCATTGTGGATAGACTTTGTCAGGGAGACCTCGGCAACAGAGGCTGTGGTTAAGATGACAACCGATGAGATAAGGAGGGCAATGAGCCATCCAACAAATCTTTTAGGTCTCCACTTAGAAATGGCTTGGGCTAATTCAGCAATACCGTTGCACCCTTCCCAGGGCCCTGTTAGATTTACCGGCAACCAAATTTGAGGCTATCCTTTTAAGATAAACATAGGCGAGACAGAAAGTTTGGTGATGTTATAATGGCTGCTACAGGCTGTGTACCAAGCCAGAGGAGGTACTTCAAAAACAATATGGGTTGTCGAATCTTGTATTAACTGGCTTAGTGGAAATTATGAAAACATAGGGATGAGGTGTACAGATCACGACGCTGTCTGAGACAATCTGTGTGAGATTCATATGAAAGGTACCATTACTATTAGCAAAATGCCTGTGAGGGAGATGGCATAACAAAACAGGAAGGCTAAGACGCTGTAAGTTGTGATGCCACAGGTTATGTGAACCTGTTTTCAATTCTTAATGTTGGCCCTGAAAGTCCACCATCAGTGCAAAGGATGGAGAAGTTGCGAGGTTCTGAAAACCCAATTGGTTTGCCCACTGAGGTTGTGTCCTTTAAGACCCTAGTTAATGAGAGTAAGATTTTGAAAAAAATTC